TCCTGCATGCATGTAATCAACTATATAATCTGCTTAACTTGAACTACAAGAAATCATTTACAACAGATGTAGGCCTTTTTGCCATGTCAGAGTAACATTAGTAAAGGGACAGGAGGAACATTTCTCATGCCATCTGCCTAGAATCACATTCATGAGATGAAGCAAGTGACAATGTGGGATTTAACTTTTGAAGAGCTGTTATTTCTCAATGTCAGATGATTCAGGTGCCTCAGAGAGGACCAGGATGCCAACATTTCATGACCTGCGCCATGTGCCTGACGGCGCCAAAGTTCATGGGCTGCGGCTGGTGCTCCGGAGTGTGCTCGTGGGAGAGCGAGTGTCACAGCCGCTGGAGGAACGAGTCCTGCCCGCCCGGGATCACTGGGGTGAGGTTCGGTCTGCAAATCCAGGACGCGGAGATTTGTTTGTGCAACTAATACAAATGTTCAGTTTCAAGGTGGTGCTGTATATCTGCTTCATTGACGCAGTTCTTTCCACGGACTGCTCCTCCTGATGGTCAAACAGAGCTGACGGTGTGTGGATGGGAGTTCCAGTCGCCCATAAGACCCGCTATCACCTCCAGGACCCATCAGATCCGACTGGGACAGACGGCCTGCACTGTGCTTTCAGCCAAAAGCAACAACACGCAGTGAGTCACTTTTAGGACTCCATCTGAAGCACAATCTGCTCACACTATAAGCATTTTGTGGAAAATCCAACCCAAAGTTTTTCTAGTGCTGTAAGAAGGAAATTAAACTCTTGAAATATCTTTCCAAAGAATCCTTCTGAGAAAATGAGAGAACACATTTGCTGCACTGTGATCTTACTCATTGATGCTACTGATAGTGGAACTCTTCCTCAAACATCAGTGCAAAATACTGACTCTAAACTTTATAGGATTTATAAACACCACAATTTGTTGTGTGTGCAACGCTTTGAGCTAGAAGCTAACGCTCATGTATGCATGTTGACATTCCCATACATGACCATAAAAATGCTAATGTGATGATGTTTGACCAACTTGACCATCACAGTTTGTTTGTTAGCATTCTAACATTTGAAAAAACTAATTCCATAAAGTCAGTTACAAGCAGTGGATTGATTCAACTTGAAAGCAGCAGCAGCAGCAAAGGTAACCCCCCCTGAAATAAATGGAAATTTTTGTCTCCCGCTGCTGTCCAACAGTCTTAATCCACCATGAAATTAAATTGTCACTGGTGTAGCAGGAACTGTATTTGCTGCAGACATGCTGACACAAGTATTTTCTTGTGCTGCACTATAGCCTCGTGTGTAAGATTCGCTCTGGGGCCACTGAGCTGTCCAAACCAGTCAACATTACAGTGGAAGTCCACGAGGGCAAGGTGGAGGGGCGCTACTCTATTGACGGGAAGGCCGAAATGCCAGGGTTCACATTCGTGGTAATATTTAGCTATTTTTGGTGCTCGTTACCTCATCACAACCTGAAAATATTTTATTTTAGCCACTTAGAAAATGTTTTTCCAAATGTGTTTGCTTTACTAAAATAATGAGAAACTGTCCGCTCCAGATTCCCAACATCACAGAAATCCAGCCCAACTACGGGCCTCGAGCCGGGGGGACGCTCATCACAGTGACTGGGCCTCACTTGAATGCTGGAAAGACCAGGAAAGTCACTCTTAATGATGTGCCCTGCCCTATAAAGAGGTCTGGAAATACATTTCTTTATCACTTTACTTCACACTTTACCTCAGTTGTTTGCTTACGGCTCTACGTCGCTGCCCTACTTTCTAGAGATGTTTGGAAGATGAGAAGCTGCTCACGATGTTTTTATTGCCAAGACCTGTTAAGCAAACCTGTTCCAACTTGTTTTTAGAATAAGTGCGGTTTCACAAACGTCTTGCTAAGGAGTAGAAGCCTGACTCACCACTAAACTATTTTCTCCTGTAAATCCCATGATCATGTAAAATACATTTTTAGGAATAAAGCCTTTTGATTTGCTGCAGTTTGTCTGGTTTGTAATTTACCTCCGTCTCTCTGCAGAGTCACAAAACCCAAAGGCAACGTGTCTTCTATCATCTGTCTGTCCCAGCCCATCTCAGAGGTGAGGGATGTTCCTCTGAGTGTTTTCATCGACAAGTCTCCTGTCCTCACTACAAAGGTGTTTTACTACAAAGAAAACCCCAAGATTACAGCTGTTCTTCCTGACTGTAGCTTTGACAGGTAGGCAGTGGAGATTTTAGCACAAACAGCTGTTATGTGTGTTATTGTATCCTGAAATTCAATTTATTTTATCAAGATAAAGTAAATAAAATGAGAAAATATTATTTAAAGTGCACTTTTTTGTTATGTTTAGCGTGTGCTGTAATGCGTCTCTTTGTGTTTGAACTGTAGGGGTTCAAAGATCGTGATTGAAGGAGAGAACTTGGATTCTGTTTATCGCACCGTCATCCGCTTTAAACCCAATGAGAGCCACCTGAAACCAGTCACAAGGGTACAGTGTTCATCATCATTTTTTTTTACACATTTGGAGGATTACTTGATTTCCCTTCAGGGTGATAAGTTCATGTTGTCCTGTATGGAACAGTCATTAAAGTGTTACTACGCTGTTTTCTTCCAGGAGTGCATAGGCAAGTCCTTGCCCACAAGGATGGAATGTGTCACTCCTGTGTTTCACAGGGATGAGACGGAGGAAGGAGAGCTTTCGTTTGACATGGACGGATCACTGGGTCTTTGGAACAAAGAGTTCTCCTATCACCCCTACGGTGAGCCCATACCGTTTGAAACAGAGGGACACGTGCTAAGTTTGTACCCCGGCTTTGATGAAGTGTCACTACATGTAAGTTGTGAGGTTCTTTGCATTTGAATTACTTCAAAAAAATCAACGTGGGTTCATTACAGATTGTCTCATAAATTGATTTGATCCCTCTGTTCACAGCATCAAAAGCTGAACCTGGTGAGCTCCTGTATGACCATTGTTATGAAGGTGGCAGGCGTTGATTGTGATGCTAAAGTCCTGGATAACGAGATAACCTGCAGGATCCCCAAAAACATGACCATTCCCAGCGACGGACTGCCAGTGAAGGTTGGTTAGGCTGAATGTTAACATGATAATTTAGCGTTATTCAACATGCAACGCGGGCCCCGGGTCATGTTGCATGGGCCGCATGTCTGGGAAGTGATTCCTGTGCTTTTTGGAGCAAACTTGTCATTTAGCCACAAGAGATGACAGAGACGTGAATACTGTCCTATATTTTGACATAAATTTGTCAAGACATTTTGCCAGATTGATACTGGCTTTATCCTGTAGTGGGTCAAAGGGGGCTTGAACCTATTCCAGCTGACACTGAGTGAGATGCCAGTCACCAGGCCTTCAGGGGTTAACACAAAGAGACAATAAGTAAGAGACAACCATGCACGCTTAGTTTCACCAGCTAACCTACGATGCATGTCATGGGTAGGAAGCCAGAGCATCTGGAAAATGCAAACTCTACTCAGAAAGGCTCCAGCTGATCAACCGGTTCCAACTCGGAGCTGTGGGCCAGCAGTGATACCCATTGCACCACTGTAATGGAACATATTCTAAAATAAATGCTACATTTTCTTTTTCTATACATAAAAACAGGACAATCTGGACCTTTAGCATGTCTGCTTAATTAGCTAGATAATTCATGCAAGCCTTCCAAGTTTGTAGTACTTGGGAAATATGCTTACATGAATTCTTGCCTTGAGCAAAATAAGAAAAACACCATAACTTTTACTTTTGCATGATAATTAGGAAATCATCTCTGAAGTTTACCTGGATTAGGACCTGGGGACAAGCCTTAAGGAAGCTAAAAAACCAGTCAAAGAACAATATGCCATTGTCCGTGTGGCACAGAATCTGTGTTAATTAGTAAACTTTATTGGTGCTATTGAGTGGATTCAAGGCAAACTGTCTTCCCCTGTTTCCAGCAATATATACTGTATATGTATATATATAAGATCAACATAACCTCCTAGTCTGAAAGTGAAACCAATGCAAAAGCAAACATTTACTAAGGAGCTTATGGTCTCAATCACTATTTTCAAGCTTCCTTTAACACAGTGTGATGTTCATTTTGTAAATTATCATACTTTTAGAGTAAAATGGATGATAAAGTTGGGTATGCACTCAGGTGGGTCTGATTGAGAACTTGTGGACACTACACAGGTCAACGTGGTAGCAACAAGGTAGATCCACCCGTCACTCGTCACGACTGGTTTCTGATTTTCAAAAAACAAAGATGATATTGTCCAAATTCCAAACTTGAGGCTTCAGAACAGTAGTCCACAAACGAATGAATGATGTCATGGTGGCTACGTCCATCTTTTATACACAGTCTATGATCTCCAGTGTTTGCGCTAAGCAAAGGTAAACAACTACTGGACGTATCTTCATATTTAGTTTCATAACATAAAGCTGAAATTCCTCTGAAAGTGTTTGTCAAAACTACTTACCTTTTAACCTCATTTGTAGCAAACCATTCACCAATGCAAGATTGAGGAAAGCAGCTGTGACTGTAATTAGAAGATTTGAGTCATTTAACACAAATAAACATTTAAACTACTCCTTCAGTTTGTACAGTACAGTTAAGCTCATGACTCGGGATTCAAAGCTTTAAAGCTAATCATATGTGACAGACAATGCAGCCAGTCGGGTGTGAACAGTTTGAAACTTATGAATGTATGCTTTCCCAGAACTTAAGAAAAAAAAAAAACGATCTGAAATGATAGCTCTGCAAAGATAAAAGATTCATTATGTGGTGGACTCTGTTCTCCAGATCTCCATCAACGGGCAGGTCCACAACGTTGGCACAGTGGTGAGAGTCAGCAACCACTACATGGTGGGAATTGTTCTGGGTATCCTGGCGGCTCTGGTTGCCGGGGCGGTGCTGGCCTTTGTTGTCATGAAACACTTGAGGAAGAAGAAGAAGGGTGAGCGCCTCTCTGTTGCGTGGACCTTGATCAGACCTGTTTATGCAACTGCTGCCGGATGTGGGAGGGAATTTTGGATGAACTGTGCAAGTCTTTCAACTAGAACAGCTCAAGTTCTGTGTAAGATGTACAGTTCTTCTTTTGGGGTTGATGATTAAAAAAGCGTTGTGAAATTGTTTTTGCAGCTTCCATGGTAGAGACGCGTTTGACCCACAGTGCAAACCGCTCTGGTACAAACAATGTGGAGCTGTCGCCTATTGGAGACTACAGAAGAGGTGACTGTCTATTTAAGCACACATTTAATACTATCCTCCTTAATGTTGTTTAATGATAATTTCCTTGTGGCACTAACACCTTCGTAACCCTCCTTAATGACCCCCTCTGTCTCTCTCTCTCTCTGGACTTTTACCAGTAGTATCCCTGAGTCCTCCCACCCCTTTGGTGGGGCCGGTGGTGTTCCCCAGCATGGCCTATGCTGCAGGCAGCATAGATCCAACCCTCACTCCCCTCATGCCTGCAGAAAAGATCTCCATCTCCAGTTTTAGGCCAGAGCTGCTGGAGGAGGTGAAGGATGTCCTTATTCCTGCTGAGATGCTTGTTGTGCAGCACCATCGGATCATAGGGAAGGGTAGGAAAACGCCTTTGTCTGCATCTTAATGAATAAAAATGTGCTATGGAGCCTAAGCTATATTGTATTTTGGGAGATCAGTAACAATTCTTTTGCTTGTCTGTTTTTTTTTTCCCCTACAGGCCATTTTGGAACTGTCTATCATGGCTACTTCACAGACCCCAACAACAGAGAAATCCACTGTGCCGTCAAGTCTTTGAATAGTTGAGTAATGTCTGCTTCTTGAGCGTTGATCGTAGGGAGCCATCAGAAGGTCTCTGCTGTGGAACAGATTGCCAGAGTATCAGTGTAGCTCCTCAAAATTGCAATTTCACTGCCCATTTTAAATAATCTTTACGTGTGTGTGTCATCAGGAATAACAGATGTCGAGGAGGTGGAGCAGTTTCTGAAGGAAGGCATCATAATGAAGGGTTTCCACCACAGCAACGTGTTGTCTCTGCTGGGCATCCTACTGCCACAGGAGGGGCTCCCTCTAGTGGTGCTGCCGTACATGAAACACGGGGACCTGAGGCACTTCATACGCTGCGAGAAGAGGGTGTGACAGCCGCGTTAAAACAGATTCCGATTCAGATTTGTTTTATTGTCATTGTAACGTACAACGAAAAGTATGGTGCAGTCCTTTCAGTGCAAAAAACAAAAATATAAAATCTTTGTAAAGCAACTTTGTAACACACTATGTACAATATGAAAGAAATATATATATATATAAAAACAAACAAAAAAAGAACTCTATATACAAAGATGAAATTAAATAATGAGCACAGTGTATCTTGCACAGAGTGGAAAACAGTGGAAATTCATCACCTGATTTATTTAAAACCATCTGTTACCTACAATCTGTTAACTGTTGAATATTTAAATTTGTTTTAATGCAGTGTTTCTGCCATGTGTCTGTGGGATTTGTTTAGAACCCCACTGTAAAGGACCTGATTGGCTTCGGGCTGCAGGTTGCCAAGGGGATGGAATATTTGGCTCAGAAGAAGTTTGTGCACCGAGATCTCGCTGCACGCAATTGCATGTGAGGACTAAAATATCATTTGAAATCAACAACTTATTCGCTGCAATTTTGCATGATTTTTGATTAAGTTTAGATAGATGTTTCACTGCACTAATGTGGTTGACCTCGTCTTACTTTTTCTGCCTGTAGGCTGGACGAGTCGTACACGGTGAAGGTGGCAGACTTCGGCATGGCCAGAGATGTTTTCGATAAAGAGTATTACAGTGTTCAAGACCACAGGAAGGCCAAACTGCCTGTCAAGTGGATGGCCATCGAGAGTCTGCAAACACAGAAGTTCACCTCCAAGTCAGATGTGGTGCGCATATGAATATTTAGAACAGCATAACAATTGACACAGCAATGAATTAGGAAGTTTTTGGTTGTGTGGTTAAATGTATAATGTCTTAGTCCTGCAGGTAACAACATTCAAGATCTAAACAGTATTATACTCTGGTTCTACTACATTGTTTGAATTCAAAGAGATATCCACAAGTATAATTTCCTTGCTTAATTTGAGAAATAGTTTGAAGCTTACTGGTGCTTTTGGTCAAACTTTTTCTCTCCTCATACAGTGGTCCTTTGGAGTTCTGATGTGGGAGATGCTGACCAGAGGAGCCAGCCCGTACCCAGAAGTGGACCCATATGACATAACACATTACTTAATGAAGGGCAGGAGGCTTCCCCAGCCACAGTACTGCCCTGACCCTTTGTAAGTAGCAGAAATCATAGCGTTATATAACCACCATTGTCGATTCGAATAAGAAGTTTTGGTAAGTGATGGTATTGTTTAGTGAACATGTATCAGTTGTATAACTTGGCATAATTAAGGATTGCTTTAGTATGACTAATAAAAATACTTTGGAAAGAGTAGTAAGGATTTACAGTTACAAGATGAAAGAGAAAAGAATCTGGCACCAAGTCCAAATAGCAATCACAAGATGTCCAGGTGGTCACTCAGTAGCAGCAAATGTGTAAATTGTCCACTACTCTGTATTCCAAGATGGTTAAGCAATGCCATTTTGGAGTTAATGTGTACAGTGATTCTTTGAAACACACGCTTCACTTTTGCTGTTTTAATGATAAATCTCTTGGACAGTAAGCTTTTGCTCACCAACTTAAAGGATGATGGAAAATAAATCAACCATTCATACGGCCTTGTCACACATCCAACGTTGGCTTGGGCTCATGGAAAAGTGTCACCCGGGCACCCATGACGCCTAGGACATGAGAAGAAAAATTACACATTGTGGGAAAGATGCTAGTTGCTGTCTTGGTGAAAGTTTGAAGAGAAGGTCGATAACACTGATATGTCTGTCTATTAAATGTCTTGAGGTCTTCAGTGGTTGCCAGCCAACTGGTCCCATGTTAGAGGTGATGGTGGACTTTGTTACCAGGAACAGGCTGTTTCTGTCTCTAGTCTTTATACTGAGATAACTGCTGGCTTCAGATAAATATTTGCTATACAGAATGCAAATAATCATATCTCTAAGTATACCTATGACTGGCTGATTTTCAGGACCTAATCTGTACATGCCACAGAATCTTCAGAATAGAAATATTCAGGCACTACATGTGAGTGGTATAGAGCTTTTAACATCCATTAGCCTCACATGAATAGATGCCTGCTATGTGGATGTTATCATAGATTATTTTCATGCTAACCAGTGATACAGTTGACTGATATGACCATTCCATTCTCGCTCAGTCAGACTACACGTATGTTTTTCCAGGTATAGCATTATGCTCCAGTGCTGGGACCCCGATCCAGAGTTGAGGCCCAGTTTTGCTACACTGGTGTCGGCCGTCTCCACCATCTTATCAGGCCTGGAGGGAGAACACTACATCAGCCTTAACGTCACCTACGTCAACCTGGACCAACCGCGACCCTACCCCGCTCTCACAGAGTCCGCTGATGAGTACGACTCTACAGATGTTGAAGACTCAGGATCAATATCCTCCTGATCCAACCTCTCCTACTCTCTCAACCGTAAACTGGTATTGGTGCTAACAGCAAAAGCACACACAAAAAAACCTCTGCCGTGTCACACCAGTGTCTTTTACCTCAAAGGATATGAAACAGAGTTACTGCCTACTGTTTGAGTGCATTAAAATGATGGTGGGAAGCTTTCAGCTGGAATAGCCAAGAGGGTCGAACTAGACCTCACGTCTGGGGGGGTCACAAGGTCTATGAGCCAAAAGGAAGAAAGAAGGTTGAAAAGAATAGAAATATTCTTCATTGCAGTGTGGTAAGTGTGAAAGAAATATTGTACTCAAGGTTTGTAGTAAAAGCACAATCAGACTAATGCTACACAATAGACCACTGCAGGAGCTTACGGGCCGAAAGACTGCAAGAACCGCCTTTACAGAACCTTTTCCAAGGCTGTTTTTGATGTAGAAAAAAGTACTTCTGAGTCGCCCTGAAACGCTGATGTCTCAATACTGTTTAACTCAGAGAAGACAAATGTTGATTGGTTAAACTTGGAGAGAACCATAAGGATACTTTGTTGATGTCCTTGTTGGGTAGCAGTCTTCTCCTCTCTAGCATCAGCATCTTAAATGTAAAATTCATCATATAGTCTGAGCTCGTAGAAGTTACCTTTGGATTCGAAGCTGCTGGATCCTACACTGTAATGGAAACAGAAAGGCTGAAAAGGCTGATTATGGATTCTTGTAAACCTTTGCGCTGACCAACACATGTTACTGATCATTACTAAACAGAAAATCACAATACAACAAGGTAACTGATCTTGGAAAGTACATCATCTACCGACAGATGATTAATGTTAGTCGCAGCCCACTCCATCTTTCCCCACATCCTGCTGCTTCTAAAATGCTGATGTTAGTTAGAAATGTCTCTATAAAAGCCTGAAGGAGTTCTATCAAAGTCCTGAAAGGCAAGCCTCGCCACTTAGCTGCCATCTTGGTAACGCCCCCCCAGGCAGTTATTTTGGGCTAACAAGACCAGGTCTATGTTTAAATGAATGGGGAGAGAGTCATTACTGCAGTTCCAAAGGTCACATAAAAAAAACTGCAAATGAGGAATAAAAAACAGGATGCGAGGGTGTAATCGTCAGTCAGACATCAGGGGGGGAGGAGTGCGTAATGACAGGCTTATCTTAATAAAAATGTCTTTTTTAGCTCTGATGGAGCTCAGGGTTCATCCAGAGAAGCTTTAGTACAAATAATTCCGCCGTATAAACCTGGAATCTGTGTGGAATAGTTGACCTGTGTGGTGTTTAGAGGAACATTATTTATTGTCAGACCCTGTGTGTTAATGAAGTTACAGCTGCTGTGCCATGTGTGTGTAAAGAAGCAGTGTGTGTGATGCTGCAAGTATTTAATAAAGTCAAAAGAAAGACTCTGACACATAGTCGGCTGTGGGCAACCAGGACATGAGTAGGTGTGTTCTGCAAAATCCAGAATTACACTCAGTGACACCGAAAAAAAACATGGTGAAATTTAAACATTAATATACCCTTTTAGACATGCCTGAGCTACATTAGTAGCTGTATTCTGAGATATGTCAATATGTTATGTAGTAGATACCTGTGGGGGCGCAGCGTTACCTGGATGTAAGCCGGAGCTTTATTAACACTGAGCTGGGTCGCCCGGGTGACGTGTGATTTTGAAATACCCAAAACAAGAAACATCACCGGTGATGTAACTAGATTATGTACTGTACGTTAAAAGAAATGTAATAGATGGCAAGGGACAAGTGAAACAAGAAAAAGCAGAACAAGAATAGTTGATTTATGATGTCGCACACTTCTGCTGACTGAAGACAAACGGAGGCTTTTGAACTCTCAGCAGTTTTCATTGTGAACCAGAAATATGAAGAATATCCTGAAACACCAGAAAGTACTTTGCTCACTATCAGAAGTAATTTTACTGCCTATGATGGGCTGTTTTTAATGTGCAACAACATATTCTCCCTCCATCCAATGTCCTGTATGAAGTTTCTCTCCTATGTTAGTTTTGAGAAAGTAGCTCAGCCCAAAATGTTCAGGGAAAGGAATCAGGGTTGGTCACAGCAGGGTGGACATGATATCCAAAGCTGTATATTTGGGCCCATTAGAACATTAACTTGTCGAATTTAGTTGCAGAAAAGAAAGTGATGCACGCAGACTTCTTTGGAATTGACTTGCAAAGCCTGATGTCCCCCAGACTCGAGGTCTACAAATGAAAACGTCTGAAAGCAAAATCTCGGATGGCAGCAGTTAAGCTTAAAAACAGCATCTTAAAAGTTTAACAGACATTTAGTTTTGTATTTTTTCACTGGTAACAAATATTGTCATGATACATCTAATCGGTTGTAGTACTGGCTTGTTCCGTTTTCTTTCATTTTATTTTAAAAACTGAGTTTGTTCAGATTTGCCAAAAGCAGTTGTTCAATGAGTGAGATTTGGTGACAAGCAAAGGCTTAAATAGCTAACTCTCACGTTTGCTTGCTCTTTCTTGTACTACCTACAACATGGGTAGTGTGCTGTTACAGTCCCAAAGCCTGTCTTTATATATTTTTAAGGTGACATTTTCTTTTAATTCTTTTGCAGTGTAGTGATTAGACTGTATATTTTTGGATCAAACGTCTGTTGAACGCAAATGTTGTGAAGGAAATCACCTTATTATTGCTTGTGTTTCTGACTAAATGTCTTTTAAGATAGTGTAATTAAATATTTATTTGTTTATAGATTTGCTCTCATGCTGTGGACTGTGAGTAAACATGAGAATTTAGGCAAAGTGCCATTTGCACTTGATTTATGTCACACTAATGTTTTCCTTAATGGATCTTATGTACCATTACTGTAAAGTATTGCTGTGTACTGGACTCCTTTATTGCAGTTCTCCACCAGAGGTCAGTATTTTGTTACAAGTACTCTGCGTTGTCGCTAACCTAAGATGTTCCATGCAGCGTGGATTCAGAAGTCTCTATGTGTGCTGTTTTCATTATTTTCGCAGTAGCATAGCAACATGACTGACCCAGGTCTTTCCCCCTTATCTCTGCGAAGCAACCAATAAGCCCTCTAGATGCCACATAAGATATTAAAATCAGTCAAGAGCACTACAACAACAACACCAAGCAGACATGTTTTTTCCTCTTTCCCCTCCTCTTTCATTTGTTCTTCCTGCAGACATTTGGCAGGAGAAAATGACTTTTCAATTAAATGAGCTGAAGAAACAGCCAACATACACCAACCATCTGTCAATCTCGCAAATAAACCAAACAAATGTCTCACCAACATACAGTAGCGAGTCCCAGCGCTGCAAACAGATGACACGCACAACCAGCACACTTTCCTCACAACAAAACCGGAGTCAAATAAAACCAGAGGGAAATAGACATCATAAAGTTTTCCCTTTTTTCATGCTGCCAAGAACAAAAGTCAATCCCTGCATGGTGGGGCCTTTGATATAGACAGAGAGTGAGCCCAGCTTATGTTGTCAAAAATGTGTGGTGTGTGTGCATGAGTGTGTGCCAGTGTGAGGCCACATTTTGCAGGGCGCAGCCCACAGGATCCACGGGAGGGAAAAAAAAAAAAATCAAGATAGCCATGATCCCTGCTTCCTCTTCTCTTCTCCTTCTATCTGTCTCGTGTTCCCTGTTGTATTATCTGGGCTATAAAAAGTGCAGAACCTGTGAAGAGAGCTGCTGCTGTCAGTTGTGTGACCATCTCATATCTTTTATTTTTTTTCCTGAGATGGGTTCACCGTTGTGCTTCATACTACAGCCCTTTGATGTGCATCTCACACATTAACATTTACAGTATTTCCTCCTTTCCTTTCTTATTGATATGGACTTCAAAACAAACGCACAAAGGACCCTGAATGTTGTGAGGGTGTGTGATTTACGTCCACGCGCTGTATGTGCTACGTGGCAGCCTCATCAGAAGGAACATGAATAACCATTTGCTCGAGTGCTGTGTCAAGTTTGGAGAGAGGAAAAGCAATCTGTGCAATTGGCCGTCTGAACAAGACTTTTCGAAGCTGGTAGGCTAATTATTTCCATTGCTATGTGATGATGGCACACTCACAGATAAGTGCTGGAGGCAAACTGGGAGCTCTTGGATTCTGTTCCAGTAGGATCTGGCTTTTAAAAAGTCAAGTAAAAGACCCTATGGAACCAGTGAGGCAACACGCCCATCGTATGCATGCAGCCAGAAACCACTATAGAGGTCCTTTTAGGCACTTTCAACATTTGCATTCAAACAAGCTTATTTCGCTCCAGCAATATTACCCTCATGAAACATAGAAACCCAGCCTGAACACTGTCAGACTCATTTTTCATCTTTTTATCCTGAATCCATTCATCCTCTGCAGATAAGTGCCACTGTGACATTACAGCGAGTGAAATAAAGCCTTTTTGGGGGGATAGTGGAATAACATTTCAGCTGAAGATCAGCACTGTTCCCCTTTAAACTGGTCTATAAACATTCGAAAATAGGGAAATTGAAGATGTTAAATTCTGTTAAATTGTACAACCTTGAGCCATCAGCCTGAAACAACCACAGCAAATGAGTGAATTAATGTTAGTTGCAATCAATCAAAAATTATTACATCCTACATTTTTTTGGATTTTAACATTTTGTAGTGAAAGCAGACATAAAAAAGAAAATTTGTTTTACCATGCCCTGTCATAACTACTGCATCCAGCTCTCTCTGTCCTGACAACTTATTGCTGTATTTCAATTTATTGCTTCCTGTGTGGGGAGAGGTTTTCCTGTGACCACACACTGTACACCATGAATTACACCGGCGAAATTAACTTAATGTACAATGTCTCCTCGAGCTAGTGGGGATGTTGGACCTAAATATATAGCTCAGACTGCTATTTGCACCTATAATCGTTGCATATGACCCTTTTATGACACAGCCATCATCATAAACTTTATTTATATAGAACTTTACTACAGTACAGCTCACAGTGCTTTACATCCAATTGGATTTAAATATTTAAAACTGCGAAAAATGCATCTAAATACTCGATTCAAATGACATAATGAAGACTTTCAATGGGATACAATGACAGCACTAATGGAGACGTCTTCAAAACAAGATTAGAAATCGTTTAAAGATGTTTCTGAAGGAATCAACAGATGTTGAATATTTATTCGCAGGCTTTACCACAGTTTTGCTCCGCAGGGCGCCTCACCACACGACTCTGTCTTAACCGGTGTTTCATGACCTAAGGCAGCAGCAAGGATTAGAGGGAGAGACAGTCGACCTACTTTCGTACGGAGGTGTTAAACCATTTTGCACCTCCACGCTGCTGGTACAAAGTTTTTAAAAATTAAGGTTAAACACTTAAAAGAACACTGCAGTAGTGCAAACTAGAAAGAACCAAACCTAGCTATTGTGTTGCTTTTGTTAAATGTCTCAGGAGGAAAAGCTGCAATTTCAATCACATTATCAATAGTCTTAATAAAGTGGCAATAGACATTTTTGTTTTTGCAGTGTAATAGCAGGCTGCAGAATAATGGCACCATTGGCATTTACTAGTAGATCGGTTCCCTATAAACTTTGCTATCACAATGCAATTCTGTCTGCCATTGGGCTCAAAATATTGATGGCTCAATTTACACAAATTTCACAAAGAACAACAGCAGTAACTGTGGAAACTTTTACCTGGCTAAAGAAAATTAGCCCAGCTGCAGGAGGTGAAGAGAGTACAAAGGGAGGAAATGAGGTAACACCAAAGTGAACCTCAGATGGACATTGGAGAGGCTCAGTGGAGGAAGCAACGGGATTTGTGAGAATTCAAAACCAACATTCAGTTGGCGTTATTTCTAGTAGATCAGTAAAACTCTTCTCATACATGGGATACACAACACTGCTGCTTCATCGGTCTGGTAAAGTGGTGGTTTGTCATTCAGACATGACTCACTTTTATGCTAATGTTCCTCATGGCTTCATTCAGACATACCTACGATGGTAATAGAGAAAGCTACAATATGAGATTAGACAATACATCAAGAGACCTAATGCAAAATAAACCCCAAAAAAGACACAAAATCTAAATGTAACAAATGATTCAACTACAGCTCATAAACTCTGACTGTGTGTGTAGCAGCTCAACTGTCTGAAGAAAAGTCAGCACTGTGACTTAAAGTTAGATCCTGATTGATCCTGTCTTCATGGTGGGGATGATTTTTATTTATTGAAATTATTCCACGTTTAAATGTGCACTCACTGTGGAGACGCTCATATGGATTCAATTCATTTTTATTTGTATAGTGCAGTTTACAACATATGTCATAACACAGCGCTTAACATGGTACGGTATAGACCTCACAAATTTAAACAGAGAACCCAGCAATCCAAAGTTGCCTTCGGACTCCCTCTGAGCCAGCCGATCCTGCTGCTGTTTGATGCAGTATTTAAAAACTAAGAGGAGAAACTCCTACAAACAGCTGGAAGCAAAAACTTCAGCTCCTGCTAATGTTTTAGCAAAACTCGAATTGCATTCATTATTGGTAAGTCTCATCGATCTGATCAGTCACTGTATTCAATATCCAAATATATAACACAAAAACACCCAGTATACCATACTTTAGCATTTTCCTCGGGCTCATTGTGTCTTTTCATTGACTTACATCACTGCCTCTAAAATTTGCTTTGTGCTCTGAGTGCAGCTAGCAATTCACTTCAACCATTGGTGTTGATTTGTATTGTACATGCTGCATAACTGGCACGAGTTACGTTGCCGGTAGCTTGACAGTGTCGAGCCGTCCATCAACAGCTTGCAGGGCTTCGTTCAGCCATCTCTGCTGAACGAAGCCCTGCGAGCTATAGCGGATGAGGAGAATGCAAACGGTTGTTGGGCCAATGTCAGTTCTGCATCGGGAAGAAAAACCCAACTCCCTTGAGAGTTCTCCGCTGCATCTTTAATACAAACCATTAATAATTCACATAGCCTTTTTTTCCTCCCTCCCTCCCTCCTTTTTTTTTTTTTACAGTGTGAAAGAAAATCAAACTTTTTCCTCCTAGCTCGTGTTGACAGCAGAAAGGAGACGCGCTCATAAAGCTGATATTGGTCCAGTACCAGAACTTGACCTATACTGATGTTAAAAGTTATTGACTTTACAGCCTTATTTTTCCCAGGCGGGAAAGTATGAGGTCAAGACATATGACTGGTGTTTGTCTTTCTTTTTTTTTTTTTTAATCTTGGGGGACTTTGCATAGATTTGAAGAAGATGAAAAAATGAGTGTGAAAAATGTTAACACCTTTTTTTACTTCCAGATAACTTCAAACAAATACTGTCCACCTCTGTCAAAGTTTTAAATAACAGAAAAATGCAAATAAATAAAGGAAATCAAGTAAATCATTTCCTCCTTGTGGTCATACATTTATTTTACGAGCAGCTGTAAATACACTGCATGTCATATCTAATGTTCCGAGCTTCCTCAGCAGTTCCTTCCTCTCCTTTTGCATTCCAAACCACGATGATTAAAGAATAAGATTGCATCCCTACCTCCCAAATTTAAGGCACCTGGTCTGGGATTTAAAGCTTTGTCCAGATCAAAAACAGAAGAGGGGAATTAATGGTTTCCTGCTACCGTTAATCTTTATCAAGCTGCAGAGCGTGTCTTAGTTGCCCAGAGATGGTAATAAATTGTAAACAGGGGATTCGCAGAAGTGAGTCCTTCTGGTCCATTCACACCTCTGTGCTGGGGTGCAGAGTGAATTAAACCTGTCAGGTGTGAACTGGAATCCCTCCTGGAATAAGAAAACAACTGATAAATACATATTGGTAAGCATTACTTTGACTAGATTGGCTCCAACAATAACAACAATTCCTTTTTTATGATAGTGTTTACATCATGCAATTAAGTTTAAAAAGATTTCAAAATGCTCTGCAATTTTGGTTTTCTTCATTGCCTTTAGGAAAATATACTCTTTGATCATAAAAACATTACAACCGTTTGTTGC